TCAAAATCCACAACAACATAATGCGCTTTCTATACCTATACTGCAGCCTTCTGGAGGAGGATTCTAATTTCTAACATTCGATTCTAACATCTTCAAAAGAAAATAAAGCTCAGGAAATTCACATGTGAGACGAGAGGGCCACAATAAAAAGTGGTGCTACAGTCATAGCACTTCCTTCTCAGCACCCAACACAGAAAAATCGGGCTAAGTTGGTCAGACATCGATAATCGAAAGTTCTGGGTTGAAGCACAAAACACGTGCCCTGACGTTTTCCTACAGGAATTTGAACTAAAATTTGGGAGTGTTAGGATCAAAGTTCTGTGCACTTTTCAGATTCTTTCCTAATTAGTAGCACTCGAGCCTCCATTACTGAAGCGCTTCGATGACCTATCAGTACTGACTAAGTCTTGTTCAGGAGGAAGTCGCAACACAGAATCTTTCCAAGTTCCGCCAAATCCAATTGGCTCTTGAAAACGCGGAGGAACGTGCCGAAGTCGCCGAGAACAGTCTCGTCCGTATGCGAACACAACAGAAGCAGCGAGCGCAATGAAGCTGCCACCGCACGGATCCTTTGCTCACATAATCCTATTAGGGTCAAGTCGTTAACGTTTAGGCTTCACTATGTGTCTCATATCCATTTGCATTGTGTTTACTGTCCATGAATTCTCAAATCACTTCGACCGAATATGCGTCGTCACAAGTCCGTCCGTCCAGAAGTGCTCCACGGCATCGGCGAATCCGACGAGCGACGACCGATCGATCGATCGAATTTCCACTATGCAGCTAAAATTTGCTTTTTTTCAATTGTGAATTTCTATGAAAGGCTGAGCATAAATGAATAAAGTTGCCTAGCTTTTGTGCTGATTGTGATAGCTGCGGATTTCTCGACCGAGCTGCGGCTCTTTCGCTTTCTCTCACTTGCCGTTTCGCCAGCTCCCTCAATCTGAGCGCCTTCGAGTGGATTTTTTGAGAGAGCAAACATGCGTTGTATGAGGGCGCACATTCCGAAAACTAGTGTAAGAGTTCAGAGACGGGTCGACGTCAAACGAAACATTGCCAAGGGTTTCAAGCGGTCCGCGTCGATAACTTCCTACCTTCCCTCCCCATCCTCCCATGTAATTTCCCTCAGTTTTTCGTGATCTCTTGAATAATCAAAGGGAACAAAGCTTACCGTGATAACGAGAAGCAGCAGCGGTTTTTGAGCATATGGTTATAATTACACGTTCGAGTACAGACATGGACTTGAAAAAATGTGGAGCTTGGCATTGATCATCGATTTGTTTTGGAGTGCGCCATAGATAATATTCCCATTCAGAATCATGCTGTCATTGGAATATGATACGATACAATAAGCTGCACTGCAGTTGTTCTAAATAGAAGTAGTGTTATT